GTAATGGAGCTAGAACTGATGTTGTGGATACATCAGTAAGTTATCCTGTTTTTGGCATTTATCTCCCAGGGGTGATATTCCTTGATCACTGCATGACACGACCATGCATTAGCCCACATAAGCATCAATAAATTGTACATTTTTGTAATTTATTTTATTTTTATAGTACAGTGGTACCACTCCATTACACTGTGCTATTGAAACTGGTAACAGTAAAATTATCAAATTATTGATAAGTAAAGGAAATGCTGATGTGAATGCTGTGGATAAGGTAAGTTATAAATAATCATTTCTCATTGTATCATTTTGTGTTGTATTTAAGAACAACAGAACTCCATTGTTTGATGCTGTTAGTAGTGGTAGTATTGAAGCTGTTGATATTCTATTAACTAATGGAGCTAGAACTGATGTTGTAGATAATGTAAGTAAAATTCAGTATGCTTGCTACTATCAGATAGTGTTGATTAAAGAAGAAGGCATTCCTGTTTTATTTAGAATATGGATATTATTTTAAATAATATTATCATAGGATGGTGAAACTCTACTACATTGTGCCAGTGAATCTGGTGAAGTTGAAATGCTTGAGTTTTGGGTTAAGAAAGGAGATTACGATGTGAATGTTAAAGACGAAGTAATTTAATGTCTAATTAGATCTTTTAGTCACTGACTGATTTATGTTAAAATATAGAGAAATAGAACTCCATTGTTCAATGCCCTTGATAAGTATAGAAGTTGTATTGAAGCTGTTGATATTTTATTAACTAATGGAGCTAGAACTGATGTTGTGGATACAGTAAGTTATATCAAGAGTAGATCTATTTTCTACTCTTGGATATATGCACTACAAAGTTGGAGAAGTGTCATAATTTTGGCATTTTTATGGGCGACCAAAAATTATGAGCATGAGCCACAGCATTAGGATTATGTGTTGCTAGCTCATGTACTCCAACAATTTTACATGATCATTTTTGGAGTCCTTTTGTGTCCTTACAGAAGTAATACTAGCATTCATTGATATTGACCCATAGCCATTAATCTACACATATAAAAGTTTTGAATGAACTTAATTAGGTTTAATAATTATAATTAAATAATTTATACAGGATGATGATAGCACTCCATTGCATTGTGCTAGTGAAACTGGTGACAGTAAAATTATCAAATTATTAATAACTAAAGGAAAAGCTGATGTGAATGCTGTCGATGAGGTAAAGAAAGTTGTTAAAATAATCATTTCTAATTGTATCATTTTTGTGTTGTATATAGGACAACAAAACTCCATTGTTTAATGCTGTTAAGAGTGGTAGTATTGAAGCTGTTGAAATTCTATTAACTAATGGAGCTAAAACTGATGTTGTGGATAAAGTAATTTTTTTAATACTGTTTATGTCAAAAATTGGTAGCAGTGTTAATCACACCTGTTTACACCCACATGCAAATTGTGCAATGCATATATGCTCACACTTTTATTTCTTTTACACTAGTTTTAAAGAAATAACAATTAACACTGCAAAATGTAATTTGATAAAAAATAGAATTAGAGGAGCCTGTTTTTTATTGATCCTGATAGCCTGATACCATTTAAGTAATTTTATATTACATGTAAGTACTTTTCTCTAGTAAACACATGAATATAATGTAAGCAATTTTTATTCATTGCTCATCATGAATGGACCTTAGCAGCTGAACAATTACTATTATTGTAATTAATCAATAAAGTAGAATATCGCTATTGACTATTCTTTTAAGCCTCAAGATAGCTGTTCAAAGTTAAATCAACTCCACTCATTAATACTAATTAATATTTTTTTGTGCTGATGGGCATCAAGTACTCTGCAGTATTTGGTATTGCTCCCTTTACAATAATAAATACAAAATGAAATGAAATAAAATTTAAAAGAAGCTATTATGTTTCTGATGGTACTAGAACCATGCAATTTTGTCAACCGCATGCATCACATGAGCATGTGAGCATCAGTTATCATAAGGATAATGACCCAGTCTCTCAATTTTTCAATTATTTACAAATATAGTACTACTATACTTGCTATACATTGTGAAGTAGTATTGTTATGGAAGAAACCAGCTTTTGAGACTATTGATATATGGCATAAAAGTCTTTTCCTATTATATTATCATAGTATGGTGAAACATTACTACATTGTGCTGCTGAATCTGGTAAGATTGAAATGCTTAAGTTTTGGATAAAAAGAGGAGATTATGATGTTAACGTTTTAGATAAAGTAATTTATTTTAAATTATCAGTCACTTTATGTTGTGTTAAAGAAAAAAAGAACTCCATTGTTTAATGCTGTTAAGGAAGGTAGTATTGAAGCTGTTGATTTTCTATTAACTAATGGAGCTAGAACTGATGTTGTGGATAAGGTAAATAAAATTTAATTTCCACTTTTACTTAAATATATAAAAGTATCCATACTTACTACTTGCTACCTATTAGAATAGTGTTGACTATTCATTGTGTGGCATGGTAAAATGAAGCACCATGGTGCGTGGACTCGCCTGCTGAGATTCACCTGAGGGATAATGTGTTACTTGTACTGCCCCCATCATGATATTATATATATAAGCAACTTGATATTTGAAAAAAGGATAATAGATTTTGAGTAAACTGCAACAATGCAATTACCATAAAATAAATTATAGGTGTGGTCAGCACTTAGCAGTGCAGTGCAGATAAACATGGCATGTGGCTAGGAGAAAGAAGAAAAGCTGAAATTTATTTTAGCATCTGAAGCTCTATTTAAAGAAAGAGTTAGCACAAAAAATTTGCCTAGATATTTAAAAGAGACTGAGATAGTTTGGTTGCTCCTGCTTTCCCCAGTATACTGCCTGAAAATTTTTCAAAAAGGCTAAATCACAAACTTTGAGCAACTGTAACTCGCAAACAAAAAAGGGATTAGAAAATTTCCAAATATTTTTTAATCTAGGTACTTTTCTCTACCTATCAATGCTAATCTTGACCAAATAGAGTGAAACACGAAGATTTGGCTAGGAAAAGTGGTCTATTCTTGAAAACATTCAGCTTTTGCTACCATGAATTGCTATTAAAATACAACGGAGCTAAATAAATTACCTTTTTCTTAAAACTTAAAAAAAATTATAACTCAGGCTAACTTAGTAAAAAAGATATTGACCAGGAATTAACAGGAATTTTCATGACAGAATGACAACCCAACTGCATAGTACCCGCCTACGCAAGCGTGGCGAGTCCAATTACATAATTTTTCAAATATTTTTTCCATTTTCGTATGTATTTTATGGTAGGATGGTGAAACTCTACTGCAGTGTGCTGGTAGATCTGGTAATGCTGAAATGCTTGAGTTTTGGATTAGTGAAGTAATTTATTTCAAATTGTCATCAGTCACTTTATGTTGCATGTATAGCGGAATAAAACTAACGTTGCTGATAATTTAGGAGCTTTATTAAAGGAATTTGAAGGAAAAGTTACTCGAGAGCAAGCTGCTGCAATTTATAAATCTTCTGGGTTTAGCTCTGATGCTTCAATGAAGTGTTTAAAGGAGGGTCCAACATTGGAGTCAATTTTATTAATGTTAAATCAGAAGATGGAGTCTGCAAAATCAGTCGTTGTTACAGTACATACAAATGACATGTGGCGTGATATTGTACGTCATTATAAGTCTGGTACTGTTGATTTTGGAGAGCGACTATTCATCAAGTTGAGTAATGCACTTGCCATAGATGCAGGAGGTGTACGCCGTCAAGTATATTCAACAGTATACAATGAATTCCATTGTAATAAGCATATAAAATTATTCACTGGACCTTTACACAGTCTTAGCCCTGCCTGTACTGCAGAAGCAAGGTCAAGTGGATTATTCAAAATCTTAGGTAGTATGGTTGGGCATAGTATATGGCAGGATGGCATTGGGTTCCCATTTTTTTCATTGACAAATTACACGTATATTGTGGAAGGTGAAGAGAAAGCACTTCAAGTATGTTCAGATAATGATATTGGTGCTGGTGTTGCTGCGGTTATATCAAAGGTAACGACTATAGCATCAAATTTTTATTCTAATTATTTATTATATATCATTTTAATGTTACAAAGCCTTTACAGATATAAACTAAGGCCTTAGAAAGTTCTCACTGCTATGTGCATGTGCAGCATTTTAACTGACACTTTTTATATTGTTATGCAATTACTACCCACAAATGGCATTATATTGTGCTATACCTATATAGGAGTAGTGTGATATTATATTTATAGCAACGTTATGTCTTTCTTCAAAACTATTAGTTGCAAGATATCAAGACTGAAGATGATGGAAAAGAGGTTATGAAAGATGAACTAATCCTTGATATTATTAGTCGTTGTGGAGTTACAATGATTCCTAATGTAAGTCACCATTATCGTTTAAAGAATTATTCATTTGTTTTTAGCCTTCTACAAAAAATATAATAGTTCAGGATATCATCACATATGAAGCATTGTTCAAGCATTCAAAACTACTTGATCAATTTGTTGAAGGATTGAAGGCTACTTCTCTCTATCCATTACTAAGAGCTTTTCCTACCGTATTTCAACCTCTGTTTACTTTTACAGAGCTTACTTCTGAAGAAGTTCAAAATTCCCTCATTTTTCCGAACGAAGAGTCATTCATTGCACAAGAAAGTATTATTTTACGTTATCTGAAGAAATATATTGATGAATGTGATTCAGAAGGTATATATGTATAGAATGTAGCATTAATTACAAGTTTTGAACCAATTCAACAGTTGTTTAACCAATTTTTTACTTTATTGTAGGTTTGAAGGAATTTGCACTCAGTATTACAGGCAGAATCTCAGTCCTCCCAAAGTCAATTGAAATAAAATTTGAAGCAGATCGCATGGGGACAATAGCTACTCATAGCTGTTCAGGAGAAATAATTTTTCCACGCCAGTTTGAAGGAGACTACGAAATGTTTTGCTCAGCTTTGAAATCAGTTTTAACTCGTGACTTTAACACGTATTAATGTTGTTACCTCAACATCGTTTTTGACTTTAATAATTAATAGTGTGTTTGCTAGTTATTAGATTTACTTACATAGTTAGATCAAGAGTAGATAAAACTTAATTTTTTGTGTGAATTAGACATTTAAAAAATTATTTTCATTAAAATTTCAAATTATGAGTAGCTAAGGTGAGCCTGAGTGAACTCAAATTGAGATAAAGCAATGCATGATTTGTGGGTAGGCCTAGCTAGTTGACCTGCATAGAGGTGAAATTCTCAGTTTGTTCTAATAGATATTACACCCAAACTACTCATGTATTAACATGGGCCACATTTACTGGAACATGTATGGTGAATTGAATCATATAAGATAATTGGTTCGCTGCAATTAAAATGATGCAAGTGAAATATTAATTATTAAGTTAATTCAATAAAACAATTAAGATCACATAAATAGTTTTTGTAAACATTGAAAAGCTCCAGTCCCTCCATGGACCACATTACCAGTCACCAGACAAGCTGATGGTGACTGAAGAGTACCAACATCTCCTCTAACTGTTGCACTTCTTAAAAACTTCATAGTAGTCTCAAAACTCATCTGTTGGAATGGAGAGCTGTTACTGTTCATACCAAACCTACTGAAGGACTTGTAGTCTCCATCAAATGTCATGTAATCAGCAATAAGGGACAGGTGACGATGATTAACTGATATGCCATACACATTGAATACACTTGATACTTCCTGTAGGAGAAGCATACAGAAATTCCTGTGACCAGTCATTGTATATGGTTATTTACTTTGATAATGGCTACAGCAGCAGCTTAAATGCCAAAAGTGGAGGCAATAGTGTGTATAGTGTTAGTATATACTTTCCTAACATTGAGCAGATCAGAATGCTTCCACAGTTCCTGGTAGTAATAAATTATTGATTATGAAGTAAAAATTAACAAGTACTCTACATTATACATGTACCTGCATATTGACACCTTCAGTTTTTAAACGGTAGAGTCCCTCTTCTCCAGGTACTTGGCTCTCACCAAGGAATCCTTTCTTAATATCAGGAACATCCCAAACAAAAAACCTTAAAACATAATTTACATAAAATTGAGAAAATCATAAATATTACATGAAAATACGGATGTACTTTCAGGCATCACAAGTCATTCCTTTTCATTACTTTCTTCATTGTTGTCCTTTATTTTGTTTTTTTCATTCTCTTCCTCCTCCTTTCCTTCCTCTTCTTCTCTTTTAATTGCTTCAATGTCCTCGTCAGCTGTTTATATGATACTTGCTGACAAAAGCAAAAATAAGAACAACAATAATAAACAGTATATTCTTTCTATAAATTGCTCCAGCAATATACAAGTCTAAAAAACCACTAAATTTTGTTACAATGTATAAAAGTAATTATGCTATGCAAAAAGATTAATGTTCCCAAATATAATTTTCAAGTTATGACCATCTAAAAAAAGCAATTTAAAAAAAAGCAAAGGCAGTTTTATCCCAAAAATTGGCTCCAAAATCACACTTCAATTTTTATTACATTATCTGATACATGTACAAATTGAAGTCCTTATACAGAAAGTTTGAGTTGTTTTTGACAAACATTTTAAAAGTTACAGCCATTTTCAAAAAGTAGCAAAATTTCAGAAACGAGAGACATACAGTGCGTAGCATTGCCCCTATAGCTGTTATGGTGCATGTCCTCACTGCAATAGCTGTTTGATTATCAGCATTAAAAGAACAGCATGAAGAGAGTCTGCTCAACATTAGCTTCCTGCAGTTGCACTTGCCCTTGAATACCTGCAGAACTGAGTAATAGCACTGCAGCACATACATGCAGCAGCTCCAGCCCCTCCCATGCATGTAGATTGAAAGGTATGACATTACATCATCAACTGCAATGATGGCAGCAAGAAGACCATGTGAGAAAGAAACTTCACTTTTTCTTTACTAATCAGCAATATATGATAAACTTGCTGACAGAAAAGTTGCTGCCTTTGTGTATTTGAGATAGTATTATGTACTTTAGCACCTATAACCCAGCAGGTTGTTGCTCTAGTGCTTCACAAACAAGTGACCTCCACAATTTCGAGTAAATATAACTCTTCATGAAGTAAGATTTAGAGAAATCTGCTCATATTTTTTGAAGGCCATATTCTAATCTACTGGAAAATGCTACTAGCTATCTCTGAAGTGCGAACACAAAGGAACTTGGCTCAACTACTCGATTTTCTTACTTTGAAGCTTCTGTACTTAGCAATTGTATTTGAGCAACACAAAACAGTTAAGAAAGACTTTTCCAGGTCAAAAAGAAAGACCTAGGAGCTTAGAACACGCTGTGCTAAAGTTATTGTTTATTAAAGACAAATTTCAGTTGTACAGAATGAATGAATGAATGACAGACAGACACAACAACTACCTATACCTCGTGTAGGCAAGGCCAAAAAGCAAAGGCTATAGCCTACATGTATGCTTTTTACCAAAAATTGGTTCCAAAATTGTCCCAAATTTTTATTACAATTTCTGATACATATTGACACCTCATGCTATGTAGAAATTTTGAACTGTTTCCAACAACTACATGACCATTTTTCAAAATGGACCAATTTTTGAAAACTAGCAAAGGCTACACGTATATAATAGCTCATGTTTCTTCTTTAAATTGGTTCCAAAATCACCCTAATTTTTATTACACTTCATGATATAAATTAATATCCTTATGCTATGTAAAAATTTGGAGCTGTTTCTGGCATATATTTTTTGAGTTATGGCCAATTAAAAAACTAACCAATTTTTGAAAATTAGCCCTCCAAAAACTGACTCCAAAATTTCTCCACAAGTTTTATTACATTTTGTGATGTATATGGATGTCTTTATGCTGTGCAGAAAGCTTGAGCTGC